CCTACACGAAGAACTAGTCAGAATTTTCTAGATTTTTCTGTTTGGTGGAGTCCACAATCATTATTTCTATTTTTTCTTTTAATACAGGGTCCACCTTGAATATTTAACCCTAAATAATTTTTCTCTTAACCTATATTTTTTCCCAATTTTTAACCCCAAATTTTCACATACAATATTTTCAACCCAGATTTTTCTGTAAAACATTAAAAAGTTCAAATTTTCTATGAACAAAATCCAAACAAGCATAAATAATCATAAAAAAGATAATGTCAAACAAATAAAAATACTCATAAAAAAGGTTCAAAACAACATAAACATAACATTTAATAAAACACATTTGGGATGACTATTTTAGAACCCAAAATTTGAATAAACCATTTTTAAATGTTAAAATTAATATAAAAATATACATATGAAGAATTATTTAGAATTATTCACAGTGATTAATTTGAAAAAATCTCATGAATCAAATATTGTGACTAGTTGTGATCCATTGTGAAGTGTTGTGACCGAAATATGTTATAGTATCCACACGAAGAATTATTCAGAAAAATGGCAGAAAATTGTATTTGGTGGGATCCATATTTGACTATTCAACATAATCACCAAATCTCGTGGGTCTAGTTTGAAAATTCAATCAATATTTTGGTGGAGTTCATTTATTTTATAAAATCAACCAAAAAATGCAGAAAATAATTTGATTGGACAAATCAACCCAGATTTCTATAAGAGCCCATTTAGTTTACATTTTTCAATTGATCAAAATTTTTTTCCATCATTTTTTAACCCAAATTTTTTTCTTCTATCATTTTCAACCCAAAATTTTTTCCTCCAACAATTTCAATCTAAATTTTTGTGCCTCTATAAACAAGTTCAAGTACAAAATACCATAAATAAAAGTTCATAACTTAGTGTTTTAACAAACAAACAAAAGGATGTCATAATTAAAGTTCAAAACCAACAAAACAAGATACTTCGAAATTATTTTTTCAGTGAACTATCACGATCTATTATGAACTGCTAACTTTTTATTTTTTATAGATTTTCTAGAATAAATTTTAATTTCGTGAATATTTTTCTAGCATATGCTTTCCAGATTTAAGTCTAGATGTTCCACCAAAGAGATAATCGTTGGATTTTTACTTCTCTCATACTCCTCCACATAAAAAAGGTGCTTCTTCTTTCATTCCTATATGTAGTATTTTTTTATTCCCTGAAAGAAAATATCTATGACTCCTTGTTACTATACTCAATCATGTGACCATGTGACCATGAAATTGTGTGACCATATGGCCATGCGATCGTGTGACCGTGTGGCCATGTGACCATGTGACCGTGTGACCATGTGACCATGTGACCATGTGACTGTGTGACCTTGTGACCATGTGAACATATGATTCGTACTATGTGACCATTGACCATTGTCCATGAAATCATGGTTTATATATTAAGATGTTAGACCATGTGACCTAAATAACTATATGTCCAATGATCTTATGATCATATGATCATGTCACCTATATGATTCTGTGACCATGTGACTCACATGATTATGACCATATATATATGATCCAAATTATCATGACATTCATGCATCCATACATCAATCCATATAATATTGTAACTCATATGATTATCTTAAATGACTTTGTGATTCGAATTTTAACTATTTCAAAATTCTCAAAATTTCAAAACTTCAAAACCCTAAATCATATTTCAATTCAACAACAATAAATTTCAAAATGCAACCAATCTAAAAAGAAATATTCGTTTAACCTACTATGTATTCGTCTAACGCGGTAATCTACATAAATGAATACAATGATGATTTTGAAGTCATGTTCTTCGTTATCGTCATTTTTCTTCTTCGAATATCAAATCTAGTTGGAGATTTAAAGAGAAAATAATTTTTTTATAAAGAAAACTGAAGGAAAATATAGATTTAATAATGAAAATCTCTGATTTTTTTTAGAGAGAGAATAAAAATGGTGAAAGATAGGAGAGAGAGAAAAGAGTCACGAAAGAAGAGATAATAAAATCGTTACTTTTTTTTTTATTTTGAATTTTTTAAATTAAAAAAAAGGATAATTCCATTTAAAACCCTGTACTTTTCTCTCGTCGCAATTTAAACATTGTACTTTTTTTATCCAAAAAACATTGTACTTTTAAAAATTGGCAATTAAAACTCTATACTTTTAAAAATGCGCAAATAAAACCCTGAACGAAAAAATATATTATTTAATGCTGACATTGCATCCTAGTCATCTGCCACATCATCAATCCCTAATATTTAATAATATGAATTAATACAAAATAAAAATAAAATAATAATAATAATAAAAATAAAATTTTAAAAATTATACACATACATATATAATGAAATGATATACATATATACACATATATAAACATATTTATATATATACACACATATATATAATATATATATATATATAACATATGCATAATTTTTAGAAAAAAAATACGTATACCACATATGCATATAAAACATATATATATATATATATATATGTTTTATATGCATATG